CAAATGTTCACCTGTTCAACTGGTCCCTTAGAGTAGCTGAGGGAGAGAGCTGTCCTCCCCAGGGTCCCCAGGGAGCCACCTCCCTGGGGAGGGTCAGGTTCCAGTGAGGCAGCAGTGAGAGGGAGGGGACTTTGTGCAGACTGGAAAGGGCTTTCTGACAGGTGGTGTTGGGGAGCAAGGGGATGAGACCCCCAGAAGGGACTGGTGCCTGGAGGAGCCTGTACTTTGGGAGGTACAGGAAGTTCACAGGAACAGAGTCATGGACTCATTTATAGCCTATTCTCAAGGTTTCCAACTTCAACACATTTATTTTGGTGCCAAAATTGCCTGAGGGCTTTGTCTCTTTGGGCATCGACCTCATGACCTTCCCTGACCTTCCTTTCCAGTCAGTCACCAAGCCTGCTATTTCTTCCATCTTCACGGTTTTTTCAATCCAATCTGTACACTACTGCCAGACTATTGTTTCTAAAATATCACTTGGATTGTGTCACCTCCCAGCTCAAAAACCTTTCAGTGCCTTCCACTGTCACTGGATCAAGCGTAGACACACACCCTTGTCCAACATCCAGAGTTAACTGAGGTGTCTCCAGTTCACCTCAGAAAACATCTGCTCCAGGGAAAGTGGTTCAACCCCTCCGACCTGCCTGTACCTGTGACACCATCCCCCGAAATCATTTCCCTGCTTTTCCCAAGCCTGATTTCCCCCCGAAACACCCTTTTCTTTCCCTTCTGCTTCTCCATATGCGGGCATTCCTTCACACGCAGTTGCTCCTCCCATCAGTGGACCGTGTGGGTAACGCACAGCGCCGAGTCTCATGGCCCTGGTGCGGATCACGGCTCTGCCATTTCAGTTTCGGGAACTCGGGCTTAGCTTCTTACGGCTTAGTTTGCTTCATCTCCATAATGTAATAACTACTTATCTCAGATGATTTTTGTGAAGTTTCAATGAAAATTAATTACTGTAAAATTATACAGTGCCTGGAACACAGTAAGTACTCACTAGATTAGTATTAATATTATTGTCCAAATACACTCTTTTCTCTGAGTATAAAGTCTTACTAGCGTGTAATAGTTTGTGTGCCCTGTTATTTTATCTCTTACATTTAAACTTTTTATACTTAGATCTTGTTTCCTCATACTTTATATACTTCATTTCAGTAACACTGGTGAGCCGAGCCCTGTATTAGGTGCTTTACAGACACAAACCCCATGAGTTAGGTCTCGTTATCTCTATTACTTCACTTTGGGGATGGGAAAACTAAGGTTTGGAGATATTAAAAGCTCTACCTAATATTAAACAGCTAGTAACTAGTGGGATGAGGATGCAGGTGGTTTTTTTGACTGATTTACTATTTTTAAAATTGAAAGTTGCCGAGGATTTCTACAAACGATCACTAGGCAGTCCTAATGAGCCAGTTCTGCTGCTCTTCCCTTACCTGGAGATTTCCCCCAGGAAGGACTGAGCACTGTCACTAGATGTGGCTTCAACATCACTCCCCAAACAGCCAGAACCTGTGTTTTCCTCCAGGGACTGCTGTTACCCTTTGACTTTCAGAAAGAAAGCATACTAGAGGCCCCATGTTTTGTTTTAAGAGAGGAAGATCATTTCCAGTCAGAAATCAAGCCATCAGACATCAAGAACAAAAACCAAGTTTCCATTAGCAAAAAGCATCCTTTATCCTCCTTTAGTTTTCTGGGGGGTGGGGGGGAGGGGGAGGCTCTTAATGGAAGGAGCCAAGTCTTCTGAGTATAGAAGAGGCCAACTTTTCCCAAAGGTAACATTCCAAAGAGTGTGAGTCTTAAGAGTCAGAAAGACAAAACCCTAAAAGGCATGGGAAGGATGGACCCCACTAGTATTTATCCTTTACTCTGATCTATTACATGAGAGTGCAACCACATACAAGTATAATTTTTTGGGGGGTAAGAATTAAATGAAAAAAAAAATGAACCATTAACTGATATTATAATTATGTTTACAAACTGATTTCCAGTGGCATCATCACACATTAGGCCTCTTTAGGAGCCTATAGTTTCCAGATGTGAAAAAGCATGGTCTCTGAGCTAAACCTGGAAATTTTACCTTGCTAACTCTCAAACTATTTTGGCTGATGAAGTTTAAAGAACTCCTCCAAGGGGCTGCCCCGTGGCCGAGTGGTTAAGTTCGCGCACTCTGCGTTCGTGGCCCAGGTTTCACTGGTTCAGATCCTGGGCGCACACATGGCACCGCTCATCAGGCCATGCTGAGGCGGTGTCCCACATAACACAGCCAGAAGGATCTACAACTATGTACTGGGGGGCTTGGGGAGAAGAAGAAGAGGAGAAAAAAAAAGAACTCCAAAATAGCCAAACAAAAGAAACCAACAACCTGCCACTAAGATATACAACTATGTACCGGAGGGGATTTGGGGAGATAAAGCAGAAAAAAAAAAAAAGATTGGCAACAGTTGTTAGCTCAGGTGCCAATCTTTAAGAAAAAAAAGAAGAAGAAACCAACAGCCATAAAACAACACAACAAAAAGCAAACTTCTCATGTCAGGAAAGTTAAAGGCTTAAAGGCTACAAAAACAACAGGTTCATCTACTTAGGAAATAAGTATGCCCCAGGCCCCACCCCTGGCTCTACTGTCTCTAACAACCTAGGATACTAGGAGTGGAATATACATCCCCATCAGTAGGGGACCAGTGCGCTGCCAGCCTCTGGAAACCCTGGACGTGGATTCTCGAAGGCTCTGTAGATTCAACTCCCTGAGCTGGGAGACTGGGATTCATGGATGACTAACAGCCGGTCTGAGGTTTCCCCCTTTGTTCATCCCCTTGTCAAACTCTCCCTAGAGGCTCTTTACTTGTGGAGAGAGAGCAAAGAACTTCTTTCTTTACAATGCTTTTTGTTATTCTTTCAAACAGGTCAAAAAAGAATTACATGGATTGAACAAATTAATACTGTTAAGATGGCTATATTCCCCAAGTTGATCTACAGATTCAACTTAATCTTTATCAAAATCCCAGCTGGCTTTTCTGTGGAAATTGACAAACTGATCCTAAAATTCATCTGGAAATCAAGGAACTCAGAGCAGCCGAACAATCTTAGGAGAACAAAGATGGACAACTCACACTTGCTGATTTCAAAACTTACTACAAAGCTACAGTAATCAAGACAGTGTGGTACTGGCATAAAGACAGACATACAGATCAATTGAGAATCAATAAATAAATCTCACATTTATGGTCAATTGATTTTTGACAAGGGTGCCAAGACAATTCAATGGGAGAAAGAATAGTCTTTTCAAAAAAATGGTGCTAGGACAACAAGATATCTACATGCAAAAAAATAAAGTCAGACCCCCAACTCTCACACAATACTTAAAAATTAACTCAAAATGGATCATAGCCCCAAATGTAAGCGCTAAAATTATAAAACTCTTAGAAAAAAATATAGGAGTAATCTTTGCGACCTTGAGTTAGACAAAGCCTTCTTAGATATGACAACAAAAACACAGTGAGAAAAGAAAAAACAAATTGGACTTCATCAAAATTAAAACCTCTTATGCTTCAAAGGACACTATCAAGAAAGTGAAAAACCCTACAAAATGGGAGAAAATATTTGCAAATCATAGATCTGATAAGGGAATTGGATCCAGAATATATAAAGAATTCTTACAACTCAATTATAAGACAAATAACCTAATTAAAAAATGGGCAAGAATCTGAACAGACATTTCTCCAAAGAAGATACACAAATGGCCAATAAGCATGTGAAAAGATGCTCAATATCATTAGTCATCAGGAAATACAAATTAAAGCCACAACGAGGTATCACTTTATACCCTCTAGAATGGCTATTACCAAAAAGACATAATAAGTGTTGATGAGGAGGTATAGAAATTAGAACTCCCATACACTGCTGTTGGAAATGTAAAATGGTGCAGCCACTTTGGAAAAGAGTCTGGCAGTTCCTCAAAAGGTTAAACATAGAGTCACCATATGGCCCAGCTATTCTACTCCTAGGTATATGCCCAAGAGAAATGAAAACATATGTTCACACAAAAACTTATGCATGAATGTTCATAGCAGCATTATTCATAATAGCCAAAAAAGTGGAAATAGCCCAAATGTTCATCAACTCATGAATGGATAAATAAAAACTGGCATATCCACACGATGGACTATTATTTGGCCATAAAAAGGAATTAAGTTCTGATGCATGCTACAACACAGATGAACCCTGAAAACATTATCTTAAGTGAAAGGCATCAGTCACAAAAGACCACATAACATACTCTATGATTCCATTTATATGAAATATCAAGACTAGGCAAATCTATAGAGACAGAAAGTAGATTAATGGTTTCCTAGGGCTGGGGTGGAAGGGTAGGGGAAATAGAGAATGATTACTGATGGGTACAGGGCTTCTTTTTGGGGTGATGAAATGTCCTAAAAGTGATTGTGCTGATGGTTGCACAACATTGTGAATACACTAATAACCATTGAATAGTATATTTTAAATGGGTGAATTGTATGTTATGGTGAATTATATCCCAATAAAGCTGTTTGTTTTGCTGAGGAAGATTAGCCCTGAGCTAACATCTGTGCCAATCTTCCTCTTTTTTGCTGAGGAAGATTAGCTCTGAGCTAACATCTGTTGTCAATCTTCATCTTTTTCACTGAGGAAGATTTACCCTGAGCTAACATTTGTTGCCATCTTCCTCTACTTTGCATGTGAGCCACTGCCATAGCATGGACACTGACAGATGAGTGGTGTAGGTCTGCACCTGGGAACAAACCTCAGGCTGCCAAAGCAGAGTGCACCAAACTCAACCACTAGGCAACGGGGGCTGGCCCATGTTTTTATATATATATATATAACAATTATACAGATATCAAGAACAGGCCTTCAAAATGAACAAAAGGGTCACAAAATGTTTCAAAAGCAAAAATCCAGAAAAGAATCAGAGACACTTGGTAATCATGTGAAAAAGGGGTCTGTAGGAATGGAAAGGATCCAGCACAAAGATGAAATATTGTCTTCGTCTGGATCTATTCTGAAAAACAAACATATGAAAAACAAAGTCACATTATAAGTCAATTACATCTCAATAAAACTTGGAAAAAATAACACTAAGGAGAATCTAGCGCAACCTGTTCCACCTTTGTTTGCAGTCTTAGTGTGTAAATAATAAAAAAAAAAGAGTCTGGTCTGCACATGACCTCTGCATTTATATGAAAAGCTCAATACTAGTTATTTCTCAGGCCCAAATAAACCTTCCACCCTCATGTTTTCTAAACCATTGCTCTAATAATAACAAAAAATACAGAACTGGGCTATCAACCCCACTAAGGCCATCAGTGAAAATCCATCATTCATTTGCACAGCACCTTAAGTTTATAAATCACTTTTGCACACATTATCTCAGCTGACCCTCTTGAAGCAGGTATTATCCCCATTTAAAGATGAAGAAACCGCCTCAGAGACATTAGCAGACTTACTTAAAGCCTCACAGCTGGTGAGACGGAACAGAACCTAGATCTTTCTTCTACTAAGCCACTTTTTAACTTACAAAGAAATGGCTCTTTTGCGTAGAATATTCCTTTATTTTATTACAATTTTTTCTTGATGAATGTTCTCTTATATATAGTGTTTGGAACTCATTTAAAATAGTCATTTGGTACATACTGAAACACAGTTTAATATACAATATATATTTTACACTAATCTCAATCATATATTTCAATTTTTAAAAATCAAAAAACTATTACTCAGGATAAACAGATTCCAAGCTGACTACTACAAATAGTTTTTGACTAAGGGTTAAGAAGTCAAAACAATGCTTCAGAGCAATAGCTTTGCTAGGTATCCCAAAATCAAACATGTGTCTCATCCGTTTAATTTACCTAATACATTAACATCAGTGGTCAGAGCAATATTCTTTCCTTAATTTGAATTATCATATCTTATTTAAGAGTTAAGGCATTATGATAACAGACAGTACAGTATAGACACATCCTCTAAAACACAGTATCATTCTGAACATAAACAAATGTGGTCTAAAAATCGAATCCCCAAATTGTGCTATAATTTTAGATAAAAGTCTTCATAATTATTTTCCCTCCAGAAGGTCCAGAAGTCATCTGCTTTACAGTTGTTAAACACTGGTGTTAAGTAACAATCAACTTACAATTGGTTAAAAAATATCACGTTAACCCAGATTTGAATATGACCAAAGGGTTTTGGATTATAACAAGGCTAAATTGGACATTTCATTCGTCCAGCATTTACCGAACATTTGTGAGTCTTAGGCTCAGGGCTAGGATAGACTATGATTAATAAGACATGATTCCCATAGTTCTCCTCCACGTAGGGAAAACATCAGGTAAAAGAATAATTACAATGCAATGTGAGAAGGACAATCTATAAATGGAGGCTTGTACAAAGTACCATCTTGGCTTGCTTGTGATCAGGTCTCGCGAGATAAGATAAGTATCAGTGTCTAGAACATGCCTCCAGAGCTGAATATCCACTCACTAACCTGTATCACCTTTCAATACCATGCCGCACCCAGAGGTCTCATCTCTTCCTGATTTGCATATGCAGACAAGATAGCCAAGGTCGATAGCGCTACCATCTCAGGTTAAGGCACAAACTCAGATCAAACTCCACCCTGTCATGACCTTAGTCAACAGGAACAGCTCCTGAAGTCTTTAGGTTGTGAAGTGCCTTGGAATGCTTCTCCTGAGAAGAAACGCTAAGTTTAAAAGCTCTTTTAGTTAGAACTTCAATTCTGTGAGTAAAATACTAAGGCTACTTCTCTGAAACTAAAAACCACCCATTTCTGAAACTTTTATATACAAGTTCTGGTAGAGAAAAGGTTAAACGAGGTAAAAAGTTGAGAAACAGCTTTTCTCCTGCAGAGTAACCTACTGTGCGTCTTTAGAGAGGTTCTCCAACTCCAAAACAAGTCTCCCTTCTCCTGATTGTAAAGAAACCATTAGTAAAATTATTCTTTTTCCATACAATGCAACTGGACCAGGTCAAGAACAGAACAATTTTATAGGCGAATCATTTTTTTTGAAGTTGTAGGACTGGTATTTACTCCCAAGGTTTGGGAAAGAGGATTACTTGACTTTCTTTGATTACAACAGAGCTTGGCCAACCACACACCACTGAGGTTTTCAAGATGTTGCTCTAAGGATTTTCCAGCTTTCCCTATCATAATGTACGTATTAATGCAGAGGAAACTCAAAATGTAAGAGATATTAGTTGTCCTGAAGCACAATTCCAACTAAACCAAAAGGATTTGAAGAGGAAGTTTAGAAAGATAATTCCCTCCACCAGGACACATAGGTTGCAATCCAAACATGGTTAGGAATTCCCTGGGGTGCAGCCTCTTCCAGGACGGTAAAGGCAACTCCTATGTGTTTAGGAGCTCAAAGAAATGCTGGCACTCAACTGACGACAGTTGCAAAAGCCTCTGGGAAGGTCTGCTCTGCCTCACTGCAGTTTCAGCAGCTCCTTGAACACCTCCCCTTCCGTGGACAAGGGAAGCCTCCGAACACGAAAGGTGTCCAGGAGTCAAACGGTCGGTCTCTCAAAGACCCCAGTCAGTATGCAAACGTAAGTTTTAAGGTAAAAATCCAGTCATCTTGGGTAAGGATTCACTTTAAACAATAAAAAGGCCTATGTAAGTGATATTTAATGGTAGGAGAAAATATTTCTAATATACTGATAGGTGAAAAAGGATAAAAATTTTTAAAATTTAAAAAGCAGTTTACAAAGCATGGATGATGTGACCACATTTATTAAAAAGTATATATACACATACGAAGATTCTTTACCAAAAGAATTCATGGCTATTATAGAAAGCTTGGAAAAATAGAGGACAAAAAACAACAAATAGTTGTAATCCATAATTACCATTTAATGTTTTGGTGTATATATTTCCAATTTTTTCTATGCATATATACTTCCTCTCTCATTAAACGGAATTGTAAAAAATATAGTGTTTTTAGTCATTAGTCTTGCATTGATTAGAATACACATGATATTCTAAGAAATAGGACAAATTAAAGATTTATGTACAACAGTGGTTCTCAGCCTTGGCTGCATATTAGCATCACCTAGGGAGTGTTTAAAACTCCCAATGCCTGGACCACCCCTCAGACCAATTACACCAGAATCTCCAGATAGAACCCAAGCATCAGGATTTTTCAAAGTTTCCCAGGTGATTCCACTGAACAGCAGGGCTGAGAACCATTACTTGACAGAGTTTTCCCCGTTTTGAGCAAAACATAATTTACAGCAATGCTTTCTTCAACTTTCACGTGCATACAAATCACCCAGGGATCTTGTTAAAATATAGATTCGGGTTCAGTAGGTCTGGGGTAGGACCCGAGATTCTGCATTTCTAACCAGTTCCTGGGTGATGCCAAGGCTACGGTCTTGGGGACCATACTTTGAGTAGCTTTAGGGTTCTGGGAATGAAAACTTTTAAAGAACAGAAAGAAAAAATTATAGCCACTGAAGCCCATGTTCTATACCACCAATTAGACATAGGGTGTCTACAGTAGATGAACAAAGAACTGATACTGGGAGTTAAAAGTTATTTCTAGGAAATAAGATTTTAGGGAACTGAAAGTCTGGAACAACACATTTTTCAGGGGAAAAATAGTCATTAGAGCTTATATATGTTGTGTGCATAAAGAAGGGCAAGCTAGCATGGGGGAGAAGAGAGGTGGGCAGTGAGAGAAAAAGATCAAATGTCTAAAAATTGTTAAGGAAGAAAAGAAACCCTTGGCTGCAGTACTGGAAAGGGATAGAGAAACACCGAAAGGGGATCTGAAGAATTCATTTCTCTGCCAAAACCATGTTTGAGAACCAGCACAGCTAATAAACTGAAGTTGGTGTAGATTAATAACCATCTTCCATCAACTCCCCGCTGGGGACTTAAGAAGAGACCCCAGGAGTCTAAGTCTCCCCTGGCAGTGCTTTAGGAACCAACAACAAACAGTGAACTGTATGCCCAAATGCTTCCCTTTGTGCGCAGAAAGAACGTCAAGAAGCTCAAGCTTGGGTTCCCTTTGCAGCTTCTTGACAATAGCCTTCTTCAAATTTCTAAACTTCACCAGAGCTGTAACAAAAAAGAGAAGGGAAAAACATTTTTTTCCTGAGGGCTTTTCCATAGAAGTTGGAAACGTTTAGTATATTTTTTAGAATGATAAACTCAATATTTAATATAAAAATATTCCTAAGTCACTACCAGATCGTTATTCCTCCAAAATAATTTCTAAAGACAGTAAAATAGGAAAACTTTCAAATAAAATTATCTGGAGCAATTATATGAATCAGCTGGCACACTTTATCTGACATTCCTTATCAAATGGGCCATATCTAAGTAAATTTCTTTTTTTTTTAAAGATTTTATTTTTCCTTTTTCTCCCAAAGCCCCCCAGTACCTAGTTGTGTACTTTTAGTTGTGGGTCCTTCTAGTAGTGGCATGTGGGATGCTGCCTCAGCATGGCCTGATGAGTGGCGCCATGTCCGCGCCCAGGATTCAAACTGGTAAAACCCTGGGCTGCCGAAGCAGAGCGCGCGAACTTAACCATTCGGCCATGGGGCCAGCCCCAGTAAATTTCTGTATAAATGAACAGAAAAAACTTAAAGGGAAGATTTTACCAAGAAATGGGAAGAATTCTGTCATCAGATGATTCATGTTACACATCTCTCAGGTGTAAGAATCTTTGGCAGAAACATACGCAATCATAACAGCACCACTGATCTTTACATCCAGCACCTCTTTACTGCATAATGACGATGGCTAACGTGTACTGAGTGCCAGATAATGAGCTAACTGCTTTATCTATATCTAAATTAATCCTCACAAGCCTATGAAATAGACATTATTATTAGAGCCCTTACATGGATGAGGAATCTCTGGTTTAGGGATGGCAAGTACCTTGCTTAGGAAGCCAATTAAGTGGTAAAGTTGGTTTTTGACTGCCTGATTTCAACATCCAGGCTCTTAACATTTATATGATATGATCAGCTATCCTACACACCCAGTTTGTACCAGGGAGAGGCTATCCTCAAGACTAGGGGATAGATGAATGAGTCATGATTCCTAAGCTCAGGGTACAGGACAAGCAATCCTTCCAAGACATGAGGCTAGAAAGGCACCTCCAAATACTGCAGGACATAGGATGCCTTTGGTGTCATGGAACACCGGTTCAGATTATGCTGCTAGTGTGTTCCACAGGTTAGAACTCACTCACTTTGGGGGTCCCTGATTCTTTTTTTTTTAAATTAGCATTATTACTATTACTTTTTAAAGATTTTATTTTGCCTTCTTCTCCCCAAAGCCCCCTGGTACACAGTTGTATATTTTTAGTTGTGGGTCCTTCTAGTTGGGGCATGGGGATGCTGCCTCAGTACGGCTTGATGAGCGGTGCCATGTCCGCCTCCAGGATCCGAACTGGGGAAACCCTGGGCTGCCGAAGCAGAGTGCATGAACTTAACCACTCAGCCACGGGGCCGGCCCCCTAATTCTTGATCTTTTATATATCCTTGATGTGTGATAGACATACTTACAAAGAGGACGTGTTGCGTGACTAGAGAAACTATTTTCTAGCTTAGGCAAACTTTCCAGAAATTACTGAATCACATCAAAATAGATAAAATCGAGACAGGATTTGAAGAGGAAGTTTAGAAAAATAATTCCCTCCAATAGGACACAAAGGTTGCAATCCAAACATGGCTAAGAATTCCCTGGTGTGCAGCATCTTCTGGGATGGTCAAGTCAAGTCCTATGACCACGTCCGGGTAGCAGATCTAGTACTAGTTGAGGCGTTGGTCTCTTCCACCTTTAAATGACAAGAGATGTGGCCAGACAATCCAGTCCAGTCAGGATTAGGAGAATAGACGCAGTCTGAGGTTCGGGTGTCTCTTCTGAGTTTCTATAAAATCTCCAAAGGCTAAAGGAGACCCCATTCATTGCATTAGCCTAACAATGCCTGTAAGGGTGGATAATTCTTAATCTATGGTTTATTATCAATGCAGACAGATAAAGCCCTCACTCTTGCCTTTTTCAGAGCTAGCTTCCTAACAGTCTTGTTTAACTTGATAATTGCAGACAGTATAAGGCCAGGGAAAAGGTGAACAATATTTCCAGGTTTCTCTGGCATCTGGTACATTCATCGCTTAAACCTAGTCCTCAAAGACAGAGGAGGCAGGGTAAAAGAATTAACATCTGAGTACCTACATTCAATACACATGCTAAGTGCTGTACTAAGAGCCCCTCTCTTTTTTATTTTTGAGTCCTAATACTGGCGCCCACATGAAATAGCGGTGTTCTCAGAAGTGAAATACATTTCTCAGGAGCTCATAGCTAGTAAATTACATAGCATTCAGACAGAGTTTGTCCAACCTACATACTCTTGGAAAGAGAGTGGCTTCAGTCATCTGCAGGGTCCTGGGTATCTTTGTAGCCCTCCAGAGCTACAAGAGCTGAGGGAACTGAAGAGAGGGAGAGCAAGGCAGGCAGACCCCCAAATATACCATGAAATGGTCCTTTTGCGCTTCTGAACAATGTTCTCTTGGGATATGCTTAGTAGAGAATGAGATGA